CCCCGCCGTGTCCCGCCGGGTCCCCGCTCTCCCCTGGCCCCTCGCGCCGACTCCGCAGCGCCTGGCCCGATCCCCACCCCTCTCTCCACAGTGGAAGGCGGGCACAGAGCCATCTTCTTTAATCTGATCGGCGGCGTGCAGCAGGACACCATCCTGGCCGAGGGCCTGCACTTCAGGTAATGGCGGGCAGCGCGCACTGACCCTGACCCTTCACCTTGACGCCGACTCAGCAGTGGCTGCAGTGGGAGGACGCGGGGTTCTCCAGCGGGGAAGCGACTCTGCTCGCCCGCTCAGCATGGGCGAGGGCAGGCCAGGAGCCGCGTGGAGGAGACCCGCGAAGCTAGTGAACCTGCAGTCTGACTCTGTGCCTGTCCTCCCCTCCAGGATCCCCTGGTTCCAGTACCCCATAATCTATGACATCCGGGCCAGACCCCGAAAAATCTCCTCCCCCACAGGCTCCAAAGGTAGGTCTGGGCACTCGGGAGTCACATGGCCGTGGGAGGCCTGCAGGAGGGAGCCTGCCTGGCCAGAGACCCTGGGGGGTTGGGTGGTAGTGTTGGGTCTCTTGGGGCTCAGCCTCGGCCTCAGTTAAAGCTGAAACAAACGTTCTTGCCTCCTGGGGTGAAAGCGGTCTGTTCAGAACACACTGCATGGGAGCCAGCAGATGGCCTAATGGTTATGTCGCTGGACTCCCACCTAGTCGACTGTGGTTCAAAATCCGTGTCTTGGACCAATGCTATTTCTTGTGGGCCTACTCAGTGGAAGTTGAGTGGGGCCTGTGGCTTAAAACTCATGCTGTGTGTGCCCGAAATGTGGCCATCTTCCCTGGGGGGGGGGGTGACTTCTCACTTTCTGTCTCTCTGGTGAGGGCATGTGCCCTATAGCAAAAATGTTTCTCTTACACACACACACACACACACACACTCTGCATTTGCATGCTTATTAACCCTGAGCCACGCTGATGCAAACCTGGTAAGAGCAGCGTCTGTCCTTCCTGCCGAGCTCAAGGCCTTGTTGCGTCGCCTCTTTTTCCTTCTGCCTGATTTTCCTAGTCACGCCTAGTCCACCCTGCTCTGGCGAGACCTGCCCCTCACACTAAGGCACCTTGCCCTCCTTCCAGCCCACAGGCAAGCAGCCCACCTGTGACCGGTAAAGCTGCTCTGCACAGTTGCTCGTGCAGGCTCACTAAACCTTGGGGACAGGAGTCACAAAACACAGCCTTCGTGCTCGAGCCCGTCTGCCAGTCAGGGAGAAAGGTGGTTGTGGCGCACCGGGGCAGAGCCTAAGCAGAGGTGGCCCAGAGGACAGGCAGGAGCAGTCGGCTCTGCTGGCGGAGGGTTGTGGGCCAAGGCGAGCTCGGAGTGGACGAGGATGCCTCTCACCTGTGCCGCCTCACCACCTCCTCAGCCCACACCGGCCTCTGCTCTGGGGGATGCCGGGTTAGGACAAGGCCCTGGACTGGGGAAGCAGGCGGAGGGGAGTGCGGGGCGTTGGCCTGGCCTGCCCGGCTGACCGTGCGCTCAGACCTGCAGATGGTGAACATCTCCCTGCGCGTGCTGTCTCGGCCCAACGCCCAGGAGCTCCCCAGCATGTACCAGCGCCTGGGGCTGGACTACGAGGAGCGGGTGTTGCCGTCCATCGTCAACGAGGTGCTCAAGAGCGTAGTGGCCAAGTTCAACGCCTCCCAGCTGATCACCCAGCGGGCCCAGGTCGGACTCCCATCTCCATCTGCTCCGCATCAGCATTTAACTGCCGGCCCAGGGGACTGGGTGTTAGGAAGGGCAGCTTATTAGGGAAAGGTTGCAATCCGGCTGCATTTCTGAGGGACGCTGTCCTAACAGTCACTGTGGGAAGGGCCGTGAGGGGAGCCAGCGGTAGGACTTGGCAGTGGTCAGAGTTCGGAGCCGTAGCAGGGAGCAACGCGAAGTCCAGGCCTTCTGCACCTCCTTCAGCGGAGGAGCATGTGTGGCAGGTTCGCCTGCAGGAGCTGAGACCTGGGCAGTTCCGGCGCCTTTCAGCCTGTCTCGTCTGTCCGGGAAAGATGGAGCCAGGGCCTCCCAGCTCAGGTGTTTAGCCAGGCACCAAGGAGGGGTCAGTGAGCTTTCTGGCGTTCGCATGGTCACAGCCGTACACCTTCTTCTCAGTTCTCCATCCCCTCAAATTGCCCCCACCGCCCCCAGGTGTCCCTGCTGATCCGACGGGAGCTGACGGAGAGAGCCAAGGACTTCAGCCTCATCCTGGACGACGTGGCCATCACAGAGCTGAGCTTCAGCCGTGAGTACACAGCCGCCGTAGAGGCCAAGCAAGTGGGTAAGTCACGGGAGGGCAGGGCTCCCGAGGACGCGGGAGGACGGAGGGCTTTCTCGCGCTGACCCCGACTCCCCCACAGCTCAGCAGGAGGCCCAGCGGGCCCAGTTCTTGGTGGAAAAAGCCAAGCAGGAACAGCGGCAGAAGATCGTGCAGGCCGAGGGCGAGGCTGAGGCGGCCAAGATGATATCCTGTAGCGAGGTCTCAGTCCAGCCCGGAGCTCCCTGCTCGCCCCCCTCGCCCCAGCCTCCTCCCGGGCCGGCTGATGAGACTAAGGCGAATGCGACTCCGTCCGTGCCCTCCAGCCTCTGCCTCCTCCGGGGTTGGGGCTGCAGGTGGATCTGAAATCTTAGTGGGGGTGTCTGAGACCTGACCCCTCACCGTAAGGTCAGACCGACAGCACTGGGGCCTTGCCTCCGTTCCCGCTGCTGTCCCCAGTTCTGGCTGCAGCCTACGGGGGGGCCCACAGGGGGGAAGCAAAGTAGGGCCGGACGGGAGCCTCTGAGCGCACCCTGGACCTGACAGCCCGGTGGGGGCTGGAGTGAGAGGGATACGCGTGGGGAGTTTGAGACCTGGCCTGTGTGCGCCCTTAACCCGCGCCTGCTCACTTGGGGGAAGCACTGAGCAAGAACCCTGGTTACATCAAGCTGCGCAAGATCCGGGCCGCCCAGAACATCTCCAAGACGGTGAGTGCGAGCCGCGCTGCTGTCACGCGCTTCCTTGGCCCCGGCCTGTTCGTGCCTCCCTCCTGGTACTGGTGCTTAGTGGTGGTTGCTCACCATTCGGGATCCTTCTGTGAGCGGGAACTCCTCCCTGGATCCCGGGACCAGGGCCTTGCGTTTGGTTACATGGCCACTGAATCGAAAGGTGGGAGTTGAGGCGTGTGAAATGACACGGGCCCCGTCTCCCCCCTGCAGATCGCCACGTCGCAGAATCGCATCTATCTCACCGCTGACAACCTGGTTCTGAACCTACAGGATGAAAGTTTCACCCGGTGAGCATGGGGCCACACGGGGTGTCACAGCTACTCCTGTGACCCATGAGAGTTAGAAACGGGAGGTCGAGTCCGCCCCTGCATCTTGTGGGATTGATTTATGACGTAAATCAGATTGTTCCATGAAAATCGCTGAGAAGTGCAGGTGATACTCGGGTACCATCACACCCGGGCACGGGATGGGGAAGCGGGGCCCCGGAGGAAAGCCCCGTCCTCGCAGGCCTGACGCTGACTGTCACGTGCATTTGTTCTCTCCTGCGGTTCCTGCGCGTCGGTGACCTGGTGGCCACAGGGGAAGGTAAGCTGTACGTCCTTGTTTCCGTGGGTCCCGCGGCCCCACCGCCTCACCTTTCTCCCCTCTGCAAGGCAAGCCCTCAGTCGGGAGGGAGGGAGGGAGTAGTTGACAGCGGCCTGGGGTGCTCTGCTTCTCGTGTCCCTGTCACCTCTGTCCTTTCTCTCCGCAGTGACAGCCTCATCAAGGGTAAGAAGTGAGCCTGGTAACCAGGAACTGTACCCCCAGAGGACGTGGGTCTGCTCCTCGGTGTGGGTGTCAGCTAGGGGTCCAGCGCCCCCACCCCGCCCCAGTGTCACGTGACGGTCCTTCTCCGCCTGTCCTTGCAACCCTCCTCGGATTAAGGAAGACAGAAGACCCCCCTTTTTCAGGAGAACGACTTTGCTCCCATGTTGGCCAGGGGCGTTGGGACAGTGTGATTTCTCAGTGATTCCTACATGTTATTCCCTCCCTTGAGGTTGGGAGGAGATAACCTTATCCCAGGAATTCTCAATAAATTTTTATTACTGCTTAGTTGAAGTCTTCCCCTGTCGGAGCGTCAGGTCACATCCACGCTCGCGGCTCTCTGTATCTGCCAGCAGAGGGCGCAGAGTCGCACAGGGCCTGGGGCTGCCCCTGCCCTCCAAGCCTAGTAGTCTGGGCTCCGAGATCCCCGAGCTGGGAACAGCAGGACCGAGGCCCAGCTGTGCACCCACCCTCCGTCTCTACCACATCGCCCTGTGTATTTACCAACATCTCCTTTTCTAAGGCTGGAACAGCTGTGGCTTTGCTGAGCCAGACTGAAAATCTGATGACCCAGTGGGAGCTGCTTCCTTGGTAACTGGATTCTGAGGCTCTGTGGGGAGACCACAGGCACCTGTCGAGGGACTCGGTGTACAAAGCCCGGTACACCGTGCCTCTGGGGGCTGCCTGTGCTTGAGGTTGCTGGTTACCGGGTGTGAGGAGCTGCGGGCTTACAGCCCTGCTGGGGGGCCTCTCGCTTCACCTCCCTGGGCCCCCAGCAACAGGCCGCCCACAGATGAGCCGCCTCACACTTCCCAAGACAGCCCTCACAGGCCCTGGGCACCAGAAAACCGAAGCCACTGCTCGGGCCTGAGTCCCACGACAGCCCCGACTTCGTCCCTTTTCCCTGGACCAGGAGACAACACTGAGGGCAAAGGTGGTAGGGGAATTGCAAAATGCATGGTAGGCAAGGCACGCCTCAGCCGGTCACGGGCTGGCCAACCTGCAGGCTTCTCAGGGTTCTGGGTCGGGCCTTTCCCGGCTCTGCTCTGCGGGATGAACATGGAAGGGGATCCGGTGCAGGCGTGGCCACCTGCTCCCCTGTTGCTGGGCAACACAGAAGACAGGCCAAGTGCCCTGGGCCAGCCTTCCAGCCCTCACACTTTATTTCTCACATTTCCAAGGTGGGGATTCAACAGGTGTTTAGAAACGAAGGTTCGAATCTTGCCAGGGCTCAAGGCAGCCATCTTTTCGCCTTCCCATTGTTCCCCTTTTCCTAGTGATTCACCCCCACGTGGGGGGCAAAGGTCAAAGGTTGTTGGTCAGGAGGCCTCCATGGTCTTCAGGGTTCCCTGAAGGTCATTGCTGAGGGTCCAACCCGGAGGCCATCTTTACCAGACAGTGTTAGGAGCTTCACGATCAGACCATCCAACACTGTACTGGAAGATGGGCCCAGGGCCGGCCGGCAGGGCACGTGACGAGCTCACGGGTGCTGCGGGAACCCCGGCAGCAGGCTCCGTGAGGTCTCTTGAGAGTGCGTGAGCCAAGCCCAAGCTCAAGGTCGGCCGTGGGTCCTGGATCCAACAGATGACAAATCACGGGGCCTGGAGGAGGGGCTGGGCCGTTGTGCTCCTTGAGCCGGCGGCCAGCCAGTCGGGGCCACCTC